CTCCCCCCCGCCAGCTCCGCTTCCCGCCCCGTCTCCCTCCCGCCCGGTCCCTCCCCCATCAAGTGTGTCCTTTTTTTTGGCGGGGTCTACCTGGTAACTCTAGATCAGGTGTGCATGAAAATTAAGGAACTGAGGCAGGCCTATACTAAGCCCATGGAAAAAAGTTCCTGTTCTGAAGTTGCACCCTAGACCTTCTGCTGTTATGAGCAGCTAGATGGCATCCTGGGAGGGGAGCTGTTCCCCTCCTCTCCCCGTCCCTCAAGTGTGTCCTTTTTTTTGGCGGGGTCTACCTGGTAACTCTAGATCAGGTGTGCATGAAAATTAAGGAACTGAGGCAGGCCTATACTAAGCCCATGGAAAAAAGTTCCTGTTCTGAAGTTGCACCCTAGACCTTCTGCTGTTATGAGCAGCTAGATGGCATCCTGGGAGGGGAGCTGTTCCCCTCCTCTCCCCGTCCCCAGTCATTGACTCCGGCCTGGACACGTCCATTATCTGCTTCCAGGAGGGCAGGGTTGTGGATGAGGAGGAGGAGAAGGCCAGCCTGGATGCTAAGCCCTCCAGCCAGGAGGTTATCAGCCTGGAGCTGGCACCCTCCCCCCCCCCTCAGGATGTCTCCCAGGACTTGGACAGGGCTGGGGAGGGCACTTCAGGTAAGTTCCATTATTTTCTCTATCTACATGCGGGGGAAGGCTTGGGCTGTGAGGGGCTGCATGCACCTCACTCATCTTTCTTGGCCTGGGGATTGCACAGCAGCCTGTGCACGTGGGTGCACATGGAACACCAGTCCGAAGCACTGAGCCCCATGATGCTTTCACACAGGAACCCGTAGCTCCTTCTCACGAGGTTCCTGGAGAGGCCTGCCTTACTCCTGACTCCGTGGTGGGACAACTTTCCACGACAAGCCACTACTAAGAAGGCTGGAGTCTTGGAAACACACAGAAGTGCTGCACATGGCACAGGGTCATGACCACACTCTCGGGCAGCATTTGCTCCTGGTCAAGTGTGGCGAGTTGGAGGACACCAATCCTGTGCATGGGAGCCTGCTGGGGGCAGGAAGAGGAGGGGACCTCAGTAGTACTCTCTCCAAAAAGTGGCATCTGCTGCTCATACACACCTCCTCCAACAGCCTTCCCCCCTCTCCTCCAGCAGGCAGGGATAGAAGTTCTCCCTCTGTGAGACACCACGACTGCCAGACCCAGCATGTGCAGGACATGGAAGGAAACTAAGCTGCCCTTTTGACTCCCCTCCTGCCTGCAGGCTCCTGGCATGGCCAGCACCTTCCCATGTCTGCTTGTCCCTGGGACATGGGAATAGCGAGGCTCCCCTGGGACATCCATGCCCATGCTGGAAAGTGCCTTCTGTCTAGGAAACAGATGGACTTGCCTGAAGCACAGTGCCATCATCTGAACCAAGACTTCGGTGTCGGCTCAGAGCTGAGGGCTAGGCTTCGTGCAAACTGTCTCCTGGGATGACTGCCCTTCTCACCTTCACAGCTGGGCCAGCTGCAAGCATGGTACGTCCACCACCTCCCATGCCATCTTCCCAACCCCATGAGAACTGCAGGTGAAGGCGATCCCAAGACGACCTGGTACGGGAACATTCCTTGAACAGGAACTTCAAGGAGGAGTGCCAAGAGCGCTGGGCTGCCTGGGACCTGAGGAAAATGATTTAGCAGCAGCTGTCCAGCCAGCTGTGCTCCTCTATCACCACCGCCATGGAGAGCGTGGTCACGGCTATCAGTTGGTACACTAGACAACCACCCACCAACCCCCAGCACCCACACCTGTTCCTCCCTAAGTTCCTCCAGCACCCGCATCTCCCCAAGTCCCTCCAGCACTTTCTCCCCTGCAAGTTCCTCCAGCACCTGCCCCACTGGCTTCTTCTCCTAGCCTCTCCTCCCCTGGGACCACTGAAGGTCACGTACATGAGGCAGTGGGACCTCTTGGGCAGCTGAGGCATCCAGATACATCCAAAGCAGGAGCCAGTCCCAGCCCCATCCCTGAGCTCCTCTTCTCCCCTCCCAGGATTTTTCACCAGTCCCTCTCCAATTATATATTCCCCAAATAAAAATGACTGGAATGAGGAGTAACAGTTAATCCGAACTAAGGACTTAGTTCAGATTAAACTTTAAACTGCCGTGTGTAGCCGCGGGCAGTTCGTTCGGACTAAGGGGGATTTAAAAATGGCGGCCGGACGGGAACATGCAAATAAAGCTCGGGATATTTAAATCCCGGGCTTCATTTGCAACCCCGGTTCCCTGATTTGCCTACCTAGCTCGAATAAACGAGCTAGTGTAGACATACCCCAAGAGCCTTGCACTGCTTTACAGCACATCCAGCTCCATGGCAGAAATGCTGTGGCGTCCACAAGAGCAACCAGAGCATGTGATGTGAGTTTGCTGACCTTCAAGGAGGTAGGCAATGGAGATCTGAGACACGGCTGTAGAGGGGAGACCCTCAGTAAGTAGCTACAGGAAGTGACTGCTGTCCTGATGCCCTGCCCGGAGTGCTTCTGGGGGGCTTTAAATGTGATTCAGGCTCCAATCAGTGTGGAGGCACTATTTTGATATAGATCTGTGTTATTTCAAAGGGGATTTGTAGTGTGGACGCACTATTTCGAAATAGTTATTTTGGGAGTTATTATTTTGAAATAAATAAGCGTGCAGTGTAGACATAGCCATAAATAGTTATAGCTGAAGAATTGACATTGGTCTGGGAGGATCAGGGTTCATTCTCTCAGATGCTTGTCTGGATGGTTGTTGGATCATATGCTCAGGATCTGACTGATAGCAGTATATGGGGGTGCCATTGCAGGGACCTTGGGCACTGCTGCACCTCAGTCCCTTCTGTTTACTCCCTGTGGTAAATAGTGTCTACTGTGGGTGTTAATGCTTTGGTCTAATGTCAGTTGTAGGGTTTAATATTCAGATATTGGATGGCATTGGCAGCCTGTGGTACACAAGAGATCAGGCTGCATGATCTAGTGGTCCCTCTGTAACTGAATTCTGTGCCCTGTCTCCTAGCTGTCTTCACCTATATGTGTTGTTCATGGTTTTTGAAAGTTGATTTTTTTAATGACCCAGGCCAACGAGCTGACATTGGAAACCCAGCAGTAAGCAGAGCAAGTTTTATTAACAGAAGGATAAGTTTACTGTCTCAGCCTGGGACACAGCTCAGGATTGAAGCTGATGAGGTATGATTTTAATCAAACACAGTCCATATAAATAAGTGGGTAGAATGAAATTGGACTGTGAAAGCCAAGTATGGTGATAAGATATGTAGTTATAACCTTTGACTTATACTGCAGTGTTCAAATATAGATAGAGTCCTTTACATATATGATTTTAGAAGCTCGCTATCAAACAGAAAATAAGTCATCATAAGTCTATATAATTCAGTTACCTAGTAACATCCTCCATACATATTTCTTGAACTCTGAAACATTGTACACAATCATTAACCATTATTCCAGAATGAATTTACCTATGTTGAATAGCATCCTCATAATGTTATTTAAGAGAAAAATATCCCATTGAAGATAATGGAAACTTTGTTAAATACAAATTGAGTAAACGTTTCAAGACTCATTTTGTAGTTTTGTCATAATGTAACCTGGCAACACATGGTTTAATGATAACACAGAAAGCAAAGATCATATTTATTTTGGCACTACCAATAAGGTTCACTCAGTTAGGTCACACAGCAGTACTTGAAAGCCTATATTCCAACTGAGTAGAAAACATTTTTACATTTTTCTTTTCTTGCTAAAGACTCTACAGAAAATATTCCCTCATCCCCAGATAGTTATTAAAAATACATCATTTCTTTGTCGAACATTTATTCCTTCTTGATTTCTTATCATTTTGTCAGTGGTAGACAACATCCTCTTCTTGTGCTTGAAGAAGAAATGAGTTAAAAGTACATATTAGAAGTATGTAAAAGCGACAAGGAGTCCTGTAGCTTTTTTTTAATTTATTATTATTATTATTGTTATTGTTATTGTTATTATTGTTATTTTATTTTATTTTATTTTATATTAGAAGTATGTGTTATTTGTAAATATGTATCACTTTTTATTTTTTAAGCTGGAGCACATTTTGCATGAAAAAATGAGATCTGGAGGCTATTTTACTGTGAGACAACTGTTCAAAAACAATGATCCTGAGGGCAAGGGTCAGGTCAGTAGGTATGTGCCTCACACCAGAGTTTTGCATTTTCTGGGATGTGTTACTTAATTTTGACACATACATGCATCTAGCTAAAGGTGAGGCTAGGTTTACACTACAAAGATAAATTGGAAAAAGAAATGCAATTTGCGGTATGGAAATTGCGTATCTTCTTCCGATTTACTTCTGAAAAAGGCTTTTCCGAAATTTGGCCTGTCTACACAGGGCCAAATTTCAGGAAAAAACCCTCTTTCAGAATATCCCTTCCTCATAAAACGAAGTTTACAGGGATGCTGAAAAATTGCATCCACTTTTCTGAAATTTTTTTTCAGAAAAGCGAATGTGATCTGGTATCCCAGAAAAGCTCTGAAATGTAGACATAGCATAATAAACAATGCCAATTGTCTTTTTACATATATTTAGTACTTTATTTTTCCTCCCAATTCCCCCCACTAAAATAATAGCTTATTTTTGTCTTTTATGAATGTATGGAGGTGGACTGGATAAAATCACACTATAGATATATTTTTTACTGTTATTCATTGATAGAGATGTGCTACTCATGATGTTGACCAAATTTCTGGGAAGGTATATCAGCTTCAAGCAGTTTCAGCAACTCCTTCTAAGGTATGTGATCAGATGAAAGTAAAAGAGGGTGGAAAAGATCACAGTTTTGTATTTAAAAAGCAAATTATTAAAAAGTAAATTTCCTGATTCTAATCCTGCAACTCATTCTTCTTCAGACAGTCCTTTGGATTGAAAAGGATTTATAGTTGTTCATATGTTCATCTCCCTGCAAGTTTGATTTTATTATTCCTACACTATCTGTCATGGATGGCTGCCACACTGAGCCTTCAGTACCTCCATTGATGATGATTGTATAAGCAATCTTAGCATCTTGTTCAATTGCCCAGCTGTTCTAAGAGTTATGGACCTACGGTCCTTTCACTTATATTCATGTAAATAATGAATAACTCCTTTTAAACCCATGGCATAACACTGGGGCAAAACTGGTATAAGTGAGGGTATGTCTACACTACAAAGTTAATTCGAACTAACAGCCGTTAGTTCGAATTAACTTTCATAGGTGCTACACTAGCAATCCGCTAGTTCGAACTTAATTCGAACTAGAGGAGCGCTTAATTCGAACTAGGTAAACCTCATTCCGTGAGGACTAACGCCTAGTTCAAATTAACTAGTTCGAATTAAGGGCTGTGTAGCCACTTAATTCGAACTAGTGGGAGGCTAGCCCTTCCCAGGTTCCCCTGGTGGCCACTCTGGGCACAACCAGGAAAACTCCTCTCCTCTCCCCCAGCCCCGGGCCCTTAAAGGGGTAGACTCTGGCCAGACAGCACTTGACACAGCCAGCCCTGCCAGCGGTCTCTGCCCCGACCCAGTGGCCCCACGATGAGCCAGGGAGCCAGTGCCAGCGAGCCGTCCCCTGCCCAGTCCCCCAGCACCCAGGGGCCATCCAGGGGCCGTAGACGGCGCGCACCCTCCTGGTCTAGTGCGGAGGTCATGGACCTCATTGAGACTGAGGTTTGGGGGAAGGCCCCCAACCTCCATGATCTCCGCACTAGGTGGAGGAACGTGGCCGTCTACGGCCACATAGCAGCCTCCATGGCCCAAAAGGGACACAGGTACACCCAGGAGCAGGTGCGCCTGAAAGTAAAGCATCTGCGTCAGGTGTACGCCAGGGCCACCAGGGGCGGCGGCGCAGCAGGGGCTGCCCCCTGCCCCTACTTCCCCGCCCTCGACTGACTCCTGAAGGCTGGGACGGGCCCGGAGGACATCGAGCCGGGACCAGAGGGCCCTGACCTGGGTGCACCAGAAGGAGCCACCACAAGATGTTCTGCAGGGTCGTCCAGGGAGACTGTACCGGGTAAGTAGTTCGAATTAAGTAGTTCGGGGGTGGAGGCGGGAGGGAGACCAGAGACCGTGCGTGTGGGCCATGCCTTCCACGGATCACGCAGACACCTGGGCATGTGCCATGCCACCCTTGGGCAGATGGCTCCAGCTGTGTGACACCCAGTGGCCATGGCCCAATAGGCACATGCATGTGTGAAGAGACCTGACATGCTCCTGACCCCGGGGTGGGACCCAGTAGGATGCTTTCCCTTCCCATGTCCCCTCTACACGGAGGCAGGGGACATCTCTCCTCCTTTTCCCCCCCGCCGCCCCGGCCACACTATACATGGCACAGGGACATGGGTGTGGTCTTGGGGCAGCTCCCTGTCCCAGGGAGAGCCAGACATCCTGACCATGGCCTCTGTACAAGTACAGCGGCTCTGACGGTGCAGGGCATGGTCGCCCTCATGTCGTGGGGGAGGGGGCTGGGCATCATCCTCTGCGTCCCCAGGGAGAACTGACCACTTCTCTTCTTTCTCTACAGCTGCACCAGCTGCTCGTGCAGGGCGCACCATCCCGCCCAGGACATGCTCCCGCGCACCCACGGTGCTCCGGACCACCACCACGGAGCAGGAGTACTGGGACCAGCACCTGGGGTCCTTGTGAGCCCTGCGCCGCGCAGTGGAGGCCTGGATGCGGGCAGACCTAAAGCTCTGCCAGGAGCAGCTGGCTGAGGTCTGAGGGCTGAACTCAAACCTGCAGGCCCTGCTGCAGAGCATGGTGCCCCATGCTGGTCCTGCACCTGCTGCCCCAACTACTGTCCCTCCTCCCACTCCTGCCCCCCCTCCCACCTCTTCCTCCTCAACGCCCACACCCTCTTCCTCAATGTTCATACCTCCCACCTCAACCTCCGCACCCTCCACCTTATCCCCCCGGGGACACCGAGGCCCCCTCCCTCGCCATGCTCGGAGGCGGTTGGCCCAGCGAGACCCCCACCCCAATCCCTGAGTTTCCCCTCCCCCTCCTTTCCCTTGCTTCCCCCTTCCAGCTCCCTCCTCCCAGTTTTCCCCCTCCCCTCTCCCACA